TAATGTAACAATTAGGGTTGAATTAGCCGATTGCAAAATGCAAAAATTTTAGTTAATGCAAAGCTGTGTACTTTGTTTTCAAAGGGAGAATCAACTTAAATTTGTAAGGTATAAAAGGTATAAAAAATAAAACAATCAACTTATGACTACAAAAGTAATAACACTCTAATAGTGTTATTACTTTTATAACGCACTTATAACTTTTATAATTCATTCTTTGTTAAAACAACATAAGTAATTACAAATTTTAATTGAAATAGAAAAGCATCAGGAGAATAGAGTGGATATTCAAATAATATTTAAAACTAAAGTAACTCATAAAAACGTGACAAACAACTTCATAAAAATGTGGCTGTGTATAGCCTATAGAAAGTAGGTAGTGGAAAAATAAAAGTTATCCTACCGAAAGTTTTTTTTTATTGGTTGAGAATATCACACTCAACTGCGACTATTCCTAAATTAGTAAATGAATGTACAATTCACTGTGCCAAACTCTAAATTTGTAAATACATGTACATTCCTTGGTGCCTATCCTTAAATCAGTCAGTGTATGAATATTCTATTGTATCTATTAATGCATGAACAATAATTGCGCTATTCCCAGCGCATATTAGAATAAAACATATAGTACATAGAAAACAACATCATATAGTAGTGAGTGGGATTCGTACCCGGAGCGCCTTCACAAGGTGCAACAACGCTATACATTACGCTACATAAACTTACAGTTAAATGATTTTAAAATGATTATATTTGGCTATTTTATTGTGACACATGATATTTTTTGACGAATAGAAAAAAAATTTTTGTAGGATAATTTTTATTTTTCCGCTACCCACTTTCGGTAGGCTATCCACTGTGTACAAACATAGTGTATAAAAAGTTTAGCATTATGAAAAATGTTACTAATGGTCCTTAAAAACGTGCGTTAATTTTAAAATCAACCAATAAAAAATTGGTTGATTTTAAAACTAACGCATGTTTTTATGGGCTATTAGTAACATTTTTCATAATGTTAAACTTTTTATAAAGTAAATTTTTATAAAGTTGTTTAAGTCATTTGTAAATGTTCCTGAAGTTGGTAATAATATTTGAATATCCGCTTAATTTTTTCTAGATGCTTTTCTACTTTAATAAATGTTTGGAATTAATAATGTTGTTTGAACAAAGAATGAACTTTAACAGTAATCAGTGCTTTATAAATGTAAAAACACTGTTATAGTTTTATTAATTTTATAATGCAGTTAGTGACTAAAGTGTTATTACTTTTGTAGTCCTAAGTTAATTGATTTGTTTTGTTTTTTATAACTTTCTCACTAACAAACTTATAATAATTTGCTCCTTGAAAACAAAGTACACAGCTTTGCATAAACTAAAATTTTGAAGACCAGATATTTTTCCAGAGTTTGCAAATCGCTATCGTTTAATTCAACCCTTGATATATACTTGTAACATGAAAATTATACAAATATGTTTTAAAAATAGATGACGCAACATATTTTCGCTTTTCTCTTTAAAGAAAAAAAATGTGGGAAAGTCATTCTTACATTTAATGTTTTAATGTTTAAAAAAGTCATTCTTACATTTAATGTTAAAAAGCTGTTTGTTTTTTTGTTGTTTTTTTTTTGTTTTTTTTTTTGCTTTGACTTACTGAATTTTGTTGCCGAAAATAATAACCACTATGAAAAAACAAAAATAAAAATAGTTCACAAATTATTTAAACTATTATTATTATTTTCTATTTAAGTTTATTTTAGTTTCCTATTTTGTTGTTTTGCTTTCTTTGTTTTTAAAACCTTTTTCGGTAACGCATATAATAAAACTTGCAAAGGACCATGACCAAGTTGTCTAAAATAGAATACTTGAGTGTGAAAGACTTGATATCTTGTTGTTGTTGTTGCTGTTGCTTTTATTGCAATTGTTGTTTGCAGTAAATAACTGAGTTTTGTTGGAAGTCTGAGATTTGTTGGAGCTAAAATTTAATAAATTTTTACAAATACTTGTGGCCTTCAAAGTCACTTCTCATCAGTTGAATCTTACCTTTTGTAAAATTCATTAGATTTGCTTGCTCTTTGTGAGACAAGTTTGAATAAGTCAACATAAACTAGGAGTGGGGTATTAGGGGTCCAATATGGTTAACTACAACTACTTTATGGCTGTAAAAAAAATATTCTGGTCTATTTGGTTTAATTATTATTTATATTTTGCATGTCATATATAATCATATGTTAAGAAATTATGTTAAACAATTGTTTATAAAAGATTAAAGTTATACTTTTTACAACCAACATGCAAATTGAAAGCTACTTTAAAAGTTTTTGTAGTTGTAAGCAACAACTGTGTTTTTTAGCACTTTAATATAGTTTGGGCTGTGTTCTCTAACTTTTCTTATTCACCTAAACTGATTGAAATCCTAGTAAATAGATTCCAGAGCTTGTTCAGTCCAGTAACCTAAGCGTACAGAATATAAAACAAGTTTTAGTCTATTTAATGAATAATCGTCATAGTTTATGCAAGTTTAAACTTGCATTAACTGTTGTATTATTGTAAAAATAAGTATTTAATTACTTTTATTATAATTAAATCATATTAATTTAATCTTTTGTCAAACTTAAAATTTATTATACCGAAGACTCCACCTTTCATAATGATGGCTTTGATAACATGTTGCTCAACTATGTGTACTTTCAAAGAAATTGTAGCCCCTAGATTTCTATAGCTCATAGCCAACTGCTCTATATCTTTGACATAAGCAGAGCTTAATGATTTTTCAAAACAGCCATGGATTACTTTTTCAAAATCTCAAAGTACCTTAATGTTTTTCAAGCCTTCCCAAAACGTTTTTCGAAGTTAGAGAATGTGATCACGGCTGTTTGCGCAAGTTTTATTATATGCGTTGCTAAAAATTGTTTTAAATATAATAACTGCATAAGAAATAAATATATAATTACATAAGTTAACTTAAATAGAAAACAATAATAATAGTTTAAATAAATTGTGTATTGTTTTTATTCTTGTTTTTTTTAATGGTTATTATTATCAGCAACAAAATTCAGTAAGTCAAAGCAAAAAAAAAAAAAAATGGTTTTAGGCGTTAAATAGGATGACTTTCCCATATTTTATGTGTTTTTTTTTTTAAGAGGAAAGAGAAAATATGTATCATCATCTGTTTGTAAAATATATTTGTATAATTATAATGTAACAAGTTTATATCAAGAGTTAAATTATACGATTGCGATTTGCAAACTCTGGTAAAATATTAGGTCTTTAAAATTTTAGTTCATGCAAAGTTGTGTATTTGTTTATAAGGAGCAAATTATTAAAAGTTTGCTAGCGAGAAATGAAAAGCAAACAAAAACGATAAACTTACGACTACAAAAGTAATAACACTTTAGTCACTAACTGCATTATAAAAGTAATAAAACTATAATAGTGTCATTACATTTATAAAACACTTATTACTTCTAAAGTTCATTCTTTGTTCAAACAACATAAGTATTCCCAAATTTTAATTGAAGTAGAAAAATATCTAAAAGAATAAAATGGATGTTCAAATAATATTTAAACTTAAATAACTTATAAAAACACGACAAACAACTTTATAAAAACGTATAGTATTAAAGGTTTAGCATTATGAAAAACGTTACTAATGGATGGTAAAAATGCGGGTTTTTAAATTCAACCAATAAAATTTTTTTACTTTTTTATAACGACGTTTAAGTGATATGTGAAAGTTCCTAAAATTTTTAATAATATTTGAATATCCGCTTTATTTTTTCTAGATGCTTTTCTACTTTAATAAATGTTTGCAATTATTAATGTTGTTTGAACAAAGAATGAACTTTAAAAGTAATAAGTGCTTTATAAATGTAATAACATAATTACAGTTTTATTACTTTTATAATGCAGTTAGTGACTAAAGTGTTATTACTTTTGTAGTCGTAAGTTTATTGTTTTTGTTTTGTTTTTTGTAACTTTCTCGCTAGCAAACTTTTAATAGTTTGCTCCTTAAAAACAAAGTAGGCAGTTTTGCATAAACTAAAATTTAAAGAACTAATATTTTACAAGAGTTTGCAAATCGTGATCGTATAATTTAAGTCTTGATATAAACTTGTTACATTATAATTATACAAATATATTTTACAAACAGATGACGATACATATTTTCTCTTTCATCTTTAAAAGAAAAAACACATAAAATATGGGAAAGTGATCTTATTTAATGCCTTAAACTGTTTGTTTTTTTTGTTTTTTTTTTGCTTTGACTTACTGAATTTTGTTGCCAATAATAATAACCGCTAAGAAAAAACAAAAATAAAAACAACACACAAATTATTTAAACTATTGTTATTGTTTTCTATTTAAATTTACTTTAATTTCTTATGTAGTTATTAAATTTAAAACAATTTCTCAGCAACACATATAATAAAACTTGCACAAACAGCCGTGATCAAGTTCTCTAATTTGAAAAACGTTTTCGTGGTCGTACGAGACAAAAAACTGCACACTTTTCCTGGGAAGGCTTGTATTTGGATAAGAGATATCCAAGACTGGACTCCTGAAAAAAAATCTCAAAGCTGTCTATGTTTTTAAGCAACTTATTGCAAGTATTGCCTTCCAAACAGTACTGCCCTTGGTAAGATACTCTTTGTTTATTGTAGACAAATATCGGTTAACAAACTGTAACACACACTCCTTGTTTTCAAACAAATTTTTTTTCAATTTTTTTTTTAATTTTGTCTATAAAACCTAAAAGTTTATGTAGATAAGGAATATTAACAAGTTCTATTATTATTTTATTTTTGTCCCTTGTTAACAAAGGGGTTGAACAACATTTGCGAACATTTTGCTACCTTGTTTGAAACTCCAATTTATGTTTCAAATTATTTTATTATTTTAATAAAAAATATATAAAGAAAGAGAAAGAAAGAAAGAGAGAGAAAAAAAGATAGAAAGAGAGCATTAAATGTATTTATTTTTAGTTTTTTATTTATTTTTAGACCAGAGAAAGCGAGAATCCGAATCAATTTCTGCTAAGTATCCTGATAAAGTTCCTGTAATTATATATGTATATATTCACACACACACACATACACACACAAATATATATATATATATATATATATATATATATATATATATATATATATATATATATATGTATACATATATATATATATATATATTTCACACCCTTTGCAAGGTATGTGTCTTAGTAAAAATATAATTGTGGTTTAAATTATATTGGTTTAAAGGGATCCCAAACTCCGGACACATGTTGTGTTCATATTAAAGATAATGTTAAAAAAAAAGGTTTGAACCAAGTTTTTTTGATTAAAAATAAATAATGAATGCATACCGTGAAAAACAAATGTTGTTGTTTTTGCCGAAGCTCGCCTTCTCCATTTTTTTCAATAAATCGGAGTCTTCAAATTATGTGTCGCAATCTACAGACTTTGGCAATTCCTTTGAAGCGCGTTTAATTCATAAAAGTTTTAGTATTTGACGTCACGGTAGACTTTTAACAAAAGAAAAGTGTAATTAAACTAAGCTGCGTTTTTCTACTGTAGTATTTTTTTAATATACAGCAAAACAAATTTATTTGTATTATTTTTCTAAACATCGCAAAAAAAAATTTGTAAAAAAAAAAAATGATAAATTATTTTTATTTTATAGGAGCAACTTGTTTTTTACAGATATCTTAATAATTTTTCGATTTATATATCTTAGTTATATTTCTTTTGTTTTTAAATTAAAACAAATATTTAAGCTTTACTTACGAATCTTATGATTTTCATACGAGTGTTTTACATTATATAGAACGTTATGTATACGGTCTCTCGTTTTTGTGCAAAAGAGCGCAGTATTATATATTCTGAATCTTACTTATTTTTATTTAAACAATCGGAACTTTTTTCTAACTTTTCTGGTTATTTTTACGCTATGATATTTTTTCTTTTGCCGTCGAAAAAAAGTATTAACAATTAATTTCATAAACTGACAGTATTAATTAAAGATATATGATGAATTGTTAACTTTTTTTATTATAAAAATTTTTTGATTACGCTGATTTACTTTAAATTGCTAAATTTGCTAAATTGGATACGGATAAAATGGAAATATCATTTTATTTTACATTTAATTTTTGATAATGAAACTTTTAAAATATTGGCAACTCCATACCAATTAGAACCTGTTAAGGTTATGAAAAAAAATTCAAGAATACACTAAACAATACAGTTGACAGTAGTATCAGATATGCAAATTCGTGAAAGGATTTATGAGATCTTAGTTTTGCATTAAAAGTACAATTAATAACAACACAAGTCGGCATTATAAATTTTGAGTATTAGTTTTCTGTTCAATATTTTATAACCATCAAATAAAAACATGAAGTTTGTATATTTTTGCCCGTTTTATACAACTAATATTTAACAAATATATGGACAAATTATTTTTATATAACGCAATAATTAACACATTAATTAATGGCAATAATTCAAGATAAATGGTAATTTAAATTGTCAAAATGTAATAACGCGCATTAAAAAACATATTATATTAGGTATTTCCCAATTTGTATCGTATTTGGCATTTGTCTCTTAACATAAAAAATTTTAAAACACAACAAATACAAATTTTCAAGCAATTTTCTCTTCCAATTCTCATTTATTCAAAGAAAAGTTACTATTAAACTTTTATTTCTCTCATCTAAAAAAAGAACGAGTGACGCAAAAATAAAAAAAATAAAAAAATTCTATACAACTCTTTTATTCATTCGATGTTTAATTACGCGAAACTTTTCTTTCTCTTTTGTTCTACTCTTATAAAAAGAGCGAGCGATGAAATAAAAACTTTTCTTTCTTAACATAAATTTATACTTAGAGATAAAATTAAATTAGAAATAAAGCAACAATGAACAAAGCAACTAACAGATTAATCTGGGACTATTTTGATATTAATGAAAATAATCAACATAAACAACATTACCAACAGCAATTATCAAATATCACAATATCGCATAATTTTAGGGGCTTTTTATTTTTATTGCTTAGTCGTTCTAAATAATAAGTAAATTTAGTTCAAGTTAATGTTTCAATATTTACAGTTGCAATATAATATAGATAATATAGATGTTTAATGTTGAACTTTTTATTTAATTATTTATTTTTTGCCTACATTTATTATAAAAAACTTTTAAACCCCCGTCATTAAAATAATTTATTTTGAATTTATTTCAAAATGATTATTCAAACTAATTTTTTTCGCTTGACTTCCCGAACTTCATGCAAAGCAAATTGAGACAAAATATTATCTAACCAAATAAAAATGCTTTTACTAACTTTATATGGGTAAATAATGTTAAACATTTTTTTATCAGAGTCTTAATTTAGATAATAAATATTCATAATTTATATACATTAAATATATAGCGCAATAACAATTTACAGCAACGAACCAGCATAATATATTTAAGGTTTTTAATATCTTTTTAAATATTAAAAGTAGAAAAAAAAAAACTAAACAAATAACCAAAAAAACTTCGACTAAAAATAAATAAAAATATTTCCAGAGTTTCTTTTGTTAAAAGTCTACCATGACGTCAAATATTAAAACTTTTATGATTTAACAAGCTTTAAAGGAATTGCCAAAGTCTGTAGATTGCGACGCATAATTTGAAGACTCCGAGTAGTTGAAAAAAATGGAGAAGACGAGCTTCGGCAAAAACAACAACATTTTTTTTTCACGGTAAGCATTCATTATTTATTTTTAATCAAAAAAACTTGGTTCAAACCTTTTTTTTTAACATTATCTTTTATATGAATACAACATGTGTTGGGAGTTTGGGATCCCTTTAACGAAGCACGCCTTTAAAGATAGGTATAAACATAAAAACTTATGGTATAAACATAAAAATGGTATAAACATAAAAACTTCTCAATATGAAAGTAAAGCTAATGTCACAGAACTTTTTAAATATATTTGGGAAATGAAAAAAAATGGATTTTCAAATCCTATTCTTATGTGGAAAATTAATGATAGGGTGGAAACTTTTAAACCTTGAAGAAAGTCATGTAACCTTTGTTTAACAGAAAAATATCATATCATTACCTCATCTTTGAAACTATTGCATAAACAAATGAATTAATATCAAAATGTCACCACGAAAACAAATTTATTATGTGCAACTTTAACCTCATCTAAGCTAACACTGTATTGCATTTTTGTATATTATTTTTTGTTGTTGTTGCTGTTGTTATGGTTGTTTGTAACGTCTGATGATTGCATAAAGCGTGAAACTCCGAGTATTGTTACAAATTTAATTGTACTTAATTATTATTCTAATATAATATATGAATATATATATATATATATATATATATATATATATATATATATATATATATATATATATATATATATATATATGTATATATATATGTATATATATATATATATACAGTGACGCTCAAAAGTCAGTTGACATTTGAAAAGAGTGAATATTTAGGGATTATTTTATGAATGAGAAGATATTTATGGGTAAAAAGTATTTAGTTTAATAGAAAACAAAAAGAATGTTTGAAATAAAAATAGAACAGCAGTCGATTATTGTTAGAACAATAAAAAATTAGGTAAAAAGCAAAAAGGTGCTGCTCAAAAGTTTGTTGACAGCGACAAGAAAACAAGTTTAAATAAAATAGTTTTGTTATTTTAGTGCAAACGCAATCCATTTAATATTTTGTTGGTCCGCCTTTAGCATCGATAACCGCTTGCAAGCGTTTCGGTATCGAATGTACTAATTTCTGAATGAAATTAATGTCAATTTCTTCCCAATGACGTTTGATTGTTGTAAACATATCATTTTTTTACTTTCTTTCGTTTTGAGAAATAGTTCTATCCAAGTATTCCCATATATTTTTGATTATATTTAAATCTGGCGATTGAGCAGGCCAATCGAACTTGAAAATTTCATGAACAGCAAACCAATCTTTGATGATCTTTGCTGTATGTTTTGGATCATTATCCTCCTGCCAGATAAAATCCTCCTCGATCCTTAATTTAGACACATAAGCAAAGACGTTTCGCTGTGCAATGTGGATATAAACTTCTTTGGTCATTTTACAATTGATCAACTCAATAATACCAGAGCCGTTCTATGAAATAGAACCCCACAGCATCATCGACCCACCACCAAACTTGTCTGTAGGTATCATATGTTGCATTAAAAACTCCTTTTTTTTTTTTCTGAAGACCGTTTTTCTCTTTGTCAATTGGAGTTCAAACTTGCATTCGTCTGTCCAAATTACAGATTTCCAGACTTCAATTGGCAACTTTATATGCATTTTAGCAAACGCCAGCGTCTTTCTTGGATTATTTATAGAGATGAATGATTTTTTTTGCATCGCTCTACCGTATAATCCTATATCAATGAGGCGTTTTCTAATTGTTTAAGGACTAATTGCCAAATTTAATTCGTTTTTAAGTTCTATTGAACTCATGTTTGGCGTTTCAACCGATGTTCTAGCGATAAGTCTATTATCTCTTGCAGTTGTCTTGTTCGACATAATCTAATTAAATTTTCTGCCGTATTTTGCTGGTTCATTCGCTTAACGATCATCCTAACACCTTCTGCACTGAATCTAAATATCTTAACTACTTCTCTCAATGACTTTCTTTCCTCCTTAATTAAACGGTAAATTTCAATCCTGTCATCAGTCCAAGTTTCACGGTGTGCCATTCCAAAAAAGTTTATTTTGTCAATACGCTGTTTAAAACAAATAGTGACATTTAAAATGCTTATTTAAAATATTATTTAATTTAATTAAGCCATTATTCTGCTTATTTCATTAACTTACTGGTGATTATATATTAAAAAAACACTTGTCAACAGACTTTTGGATTTAGCTAAATTTATAAATTTATAATTTCGTGATATATTAACTTATCTATTTTTATTTTTTGCTGTTTTTGTAATACTTTTAAAAAGTAACTGTACCTTGAAGGGATTTTTGCAATATTTTGCTTTTCTTTTTTTTTGATTGTGATACACCAGTT